CTCAGAATTCTTCGAATAGCGGTCAGATGGGATTCCTTTGGATTCGCCTGAAAGCGTGCACATAAGCATGTGGAGAAGACGATATCAGGCCTGCTAGACGTGAGATATAGCAAAGATCCAATGATGGCCCTATAGTTTGTGGCATCGACTGGCTTCCCAGAGGGGTCTGAGTCCAGTTTATTGTTGCGGGACATAGGGGTCGTCATGGAAGATTTGCTATCAATGTTGAATCTCTTAAGCATTTCCAGAATATACTTGGACTGATTGATGAAAATGCCGTCAGAGAGTTGTCTTACTTGCAGGCCTAGGAAGAAATTCAGCTCTCCCATCATGCTCATTTCAAACTTTGTTTTCATCAGTTTCTCAAAATGTTTGCACAGACGTGGATTTGAGGAGGCGAAGATGATGTCATCAACATAGATCTGAATCAGGATGATGTCAGACTTCTGTCGCTTGATGAAAAGTGTGGTATTAATCTTCCCTTTTGAGAAACCTGAGTCAACCAGGAATTCGGTTAAGGCATCGTACCAAGCTCTTGGTGCCTGTTTCAGCCCATACAGAGCTTTCTTCAGTTTGTACACATGGTCGGGATATCTGGGATCTACAAATCCTTCGGGCTGAGCGACATAGACTTCTTCTTCCAAGACTCCATTTAGAAAGGCAGTCTTTACGTCCATTTGAAAGACGGTAAAGTTCTTGTGGGCCGCGTACGCAAGAAAAAGGCGGATTGCTTCAATTCTTGCTACGGGTGCAAACGTTTCATCATAGTCTATGCCCTCTTGCTGATTGTATCCTTTAGCGACCAGCCGTGCCTTGTTGCGTATCACTATGCCTTCTTCGTCCTTCTTGTTCTTGAACACCCATTTAGTGCCAATGATGGTTTTCTGAGGGGGTTTAGGCACGAGTGTCCACACTTCTAGTCTGTCAAACTGATTGAGCTCATCTTGCATGGCAATCACCCAATCTGGATCAGCGAGTGCCTCTGAGACTTTGGACGGTTCATTCTGGCTTAGAAAGCATGCATAGTGACATTCATTCATAGTAGCCGATCTCGTACACACACCTTGACCTGGATCACCAATTATTTGATCAGTGGGATGAGCTCTTGTCCATTTCCTCTCATGTGCCAGAGGAGCAGGAGCAATGATCGGTTGATCCGAGTCCTGGTAGGGGATTGGTGACTCTTGAGCGGTTGTGGTGTGTGGTGGAGATGACTCTGATGTGGTAGCAAAACCGTGATCATCCACTCCTCCGTGATTAGGTTGGGGAGTTGACGGAGTAGATGGTTCATTATCTGGTCCGGGAAGGAGTGGAATTTCAGTGAAAGAAGTCGGTTGCTGTGGAATAGTTGACGATGAAGCTGGTGTACATGGAGAAGATGAAGGTTGTGAATTCTCGTAGAAGTTCTGAAAGAGAGAATTGAGAATCACACCTTCAGGTACAGGGTTTGGTTCAACTGTGTCAGAGTCCGCTGGTACAGCAAGTGACGGGTCAGCCTGTAAGTGTTCCGTAGCGAAGTCAGCCATCTCATAGAATGTCACATTCACACTCTCAATGATCGTTCGCTTGTCTCTGAGATAGACTCTGTAAGCTTTGGACTGCTGTGAGTAGCCAATGAACACCCCTTCTTGGGCGTTGGCGTCTAGCTTACCTCTATCAGTTCTGTCATTCAGTACGAAGCACTTGCAGCCAAATATCTTGAAGAATGAGATATCCGGAGTCCGGTTGAAGAGGATTTCATATGGGGTCTTGTCGAAGCGTTTGTGGATAGATGTTCTGTTTTGGGTGTAGCACGCAGTATTAATGGCCTCTGCCCACATAAAGTGTGGCAATCTTGATTGGATGAGCATGGTGCGTGCCGCTTCGACAAGGGTCCTGTTCTTTCTTTCAACCACTCCATTCTGTTGGGGAGTTTTGGCTGCTGCAAATTGCTGTGTGATACCGAGAGATTCATAGAATCCAGTGAGAGTTTGATTCTTGAACTCGGTACCGTTGTCAGTTCTGATGATTCGAACATTGTGCTGCAGTTGTTTCTGGACTGTTCTGACAAAGGTCATAATGATTTCTGCTGCCTCGTCCTTTTTACGAAGAAATTTTGTCCATGTGTACCTAGAGAAGTCATCAACGATCACCAGTGTGTATTTGCGGCCGTTGATGCTTTGGACTCTCATAGGTCCACACAGGTCCATGTGTATCAGTTGCAGCGGTAGAGTAGATGATGGGACAGGCTTTGACTTGTGGGAGCTTCTCGTCATTTTGCCCATTTTGCAGGCACTACAATGATTTTCAGCGGAAGACTTCAACGGAGGAAGCCCCTTCACAAGTTTCTTCAATGACAGGATGGACATATTCTTGAAATTGAGATGGGAAAGACGTCTGTGCTAGAGGTTGTTTTGTTCTGTTGAAGCTTTGGACAGCAGACAGATGGAAGTGGTGGATTGAACGCTTTTCAGATCAATAGTGTACAGGTTTGAGGTCCTTTAACACGTTAATAATGAGTTCCCTTCGCTGTCTAGAACACAGCATTGTTTGGCAAAGAACCTCACTTCCATCCCACTGTCACAGAATTGTCTTATGCTCAGAAGATTGTGTTTGAGCCCTTTGACAAATGAGACATCCTTGATGGTGACGCTGGCACAGATGACATCCCCATATCCAAGAATAGGAGATGAGGCGTCGTTCCCGAATCTGACATTGCCTCCGTAACAGTTGGTGTAGTTGCTCAGTAGGCACTATATTCCGGTCATGTGGGTTGAGCATCCAGAATCTAAGTGCCACACATTACTGTCCTGCAAAACAATTAAACAGGTTTAGGTACCCATCTTGGAATGGGTCCTTCCTTATCAATGAAAAACACCTTTTTAAATTTTGCTTTGAGCTGTGATCCAAGGTCAGCAGCTCTTTCAACAAAAGATCTATCTCTTGTGGGCTTTCCAATAGCCAGATCTGCTTTTGCAGTGGGTCTGATTTTTGGAGCCCACTTAGCAGTTTCCATATTAGTTCTGGTGGGTCTGAATTTGGGGACCCACCTTTCCATTTTAGTTCTGGTAGGTCTTAATTTGGGGACCCACCTTTCTGTTTCAGTTTGGATGGGTCTTCGTTTGAGGACTCACCTTTCAGTTTCAGGTTTGGTAGGTCTCATCTTGGGGACCCACCTTTCAGTTTCAGGTTTGGTAGGTCTCATCTTGGGGACCCACCTTTCAGTTTCAGTTTTGGTGGGTCTTATCTTGGGGACCCACCTTTCCGTTTTAGGTTTAGGAGGAGAGTAGACAGGTGCTTTGTGATTGAATGGTTGTTTCTTAAGTTTAGTTTTGAAAATCTCCTCTTTAGAAAGCCGATTAAGATGTTTCCTTGAATGAACTCTAAGAGCATATTTCATATCAGGAATACAAAACGTTCCCTTGGAAGTTCCTTTCTTGGTTTCTCTTTCAGGTTTGAGCTTTCTGAGAGGCTTTGATTTAATAACATTCGCATCACAGTCATAATTATGGGGGTCTGGAACAGAATAACCATAAGCAATAGTAGAATTATACATAGAGCCATGTACAAAAGATGTCACAGAATTTTTCAGCTTGGGACTCAAGACTGAACTACTAGAAGCTGAGTTTACATGGACAGACTTAGACTTAGTTTTAGAGTACAAAATGGAGCTGGATCTGGGACCAGGTTTATTCTCAAAGACTTTCTTCTTGCCAGCAGCTATTTCCTTTCTTTTTATCTCCCACTCTTCCTTCTCAAGTTTTGATTGATTGTTACTTTGGAAATTACACACTTTTGGTGCAGTAGTTTAGTTTGGTAAATACTTTTAAATTGTTTAGATTGGTCACCTAAATGAGTTTCTATTTCTTATTTTTAGATGTAATTGGTGTGTACAATCCCCTCGACAAATTCAGTAAGCATTATACCGATTCAGGATCAACATACACTAACTTTTATATTCGAGACATCGAGTTAAGTATATCAAATTGGCCCCGTTTCCAATTGTATGTTATTAAGATTATCTATATTTATCTTTCATTCTCATTCTTACGCTTATCTTCTTTCTTTATAGGAATAAAAGTCTCTTTTGTACTTTATGGAATGTGTATGTGGACCAGTTTGAGACGTATTTATCTCAACCGGGAACAAATCCAGTTGTTATCTTGCTACAGATGTGCCGTATTAATCCAAAATATGGTTAATTACATGCATCTATTTCTTATCATTGAGACATTATTTTTATTTTTATAGTTTTTAGTTGATAAAAACATATGCAAATATATGGCTGTTTTAGGCAGATGTTCCTCAAACGGTGTAGCTACATCTTACCATGTGACAAAACTTCTTCTTGATGCACATGTCCCAGACATAGAAGACTTTCGCCTTAGGTAAAATGATATCTAAAATATTTTTGTATTAGTTACCACTTTCAACATGTATTATTCTCAAGTCTATTATAGAATAATGTTGGGTTAAAAATGCACTAAAATCTTTATTCTGGTAATAGGTATCTGGAAACCACACGTAACACTTCTCAAGCAATAAGTCACAATTCCTCTTTTGGTCCAGTAACCGTTGGTAGCGGTACAGAAATTGGCTTCACAATGCCATTGTCTGAATTGGAGAAAGCAGTCGAGGTAAACAAAAATACATTTTCAACGTTGTTATTCTACTTTGAAATGAAATCTGTACAACTTAGTGATTTGAAAAATGAACATTAATCTCTTAAAAGGTAATAGATCATTATAAGCTCAAGAATTAATAATTTGGAATGTAGTGATTCATTTGAGTATGTATACAGATGTGCATAAAATACATAAATTTACCTGTTACTAAAATTGTGCCTACTGCTAATATGTACACTTTTATGTGATAATAGGTTCATGGTTGTTGGTTCTATGGTCAAATAAGTTCCATAACAAGCTATTTCACATGGGCTTATCTTGGTTGTAAAATGACCAAATGTTATAAAAAATTGAGCAAGGCTGGGAATGGAGAATTAGTATGCGACAAGTGTAGGATTCAAGTTGCTGATGGAGAGGGTGTTTGGAGATACAATTTAAGACTCAAGGCTAACCATAACAATAATTCTGCAAATTTGGTTTTCTGGGATGCTGTGAGCAATCGTTTGATTGGAAAATCTGCTGGAGATTTCCCCAGTCACTATTATGACATGGTAATGCTACCTCATAGTATACTTAATTTGCACAATTTTTTATCATTACAAATGCAAATCCATTTGATTTGATTTTAAATTTAGTAATATGAATAAATCCGACTTCAATATGTGCAATTACTCTGCATGTGTAGGAGAGGCTATCACCTTCAGGCTGCCCAGATGAAATAAAAGATTTGGTAGGTCGTGAGTTTGTCTTTAAAGTTGACCGTCAATCTGGCTCCCCTTTAAACGGAAAGAGTTATTCAATTGGTATGGTCTCAACCGATCAAGATAAAATTGAGGAGCTTAAGTCTGTTGGAGCCAATCAGTCTGGGAGACAGGTACAATTCTCTGTAATTTTACACTGACCATGGTACACAAGATATGCACTTACATGAATTTATAATCCTATTAAATTCATTTAGGTATTCAATTATTATTGGAAAAATGATTTAGTGTAGAGATAAACTTTACTTGGGAAATTGTGAAAAATATCACACGTTTTTCTTCAATCAAAATTTACAAGAATCAGTAAGTTCTTCACTTGATTATATTATTCCTTTCGTTTTCCATGTTCACTACTCTTCTAAGAACTTGCTCATTTTTATAATAACTTTTTAATTTTAGACATTAAAATTTTATATGCTATACCACTTATGTATTTAATTTCACTTTTGGTTTGTTCATAGCAACTTTGGTCTGTTCCCAGCCAAACGCAGGTTCATATAAAACTTATCCACCTCCAGTTTAGAGGTAGTCTTCTTGAGTACAATTTTTGAAACTTCAGGCAAATTCTTTCACCTATTTTTCGAATTTAATCCCAATTAGTCCTAAAGTAATCAATTTGATGATTCTGGATACACACATTCATCAAAAGTTTTGGTGTTTAAAACATATACAAAGGAGTACTGCCTGGATAAATATGATGAATCCTAACTTACATTCTTAATTTAACGAAATAAAGTGTACTTGAGTAATCATAATGTGTTGATTATCTGAATGATTGGGCAGATTAGTTTGGTTAGTCTATGAACTCTCTCTTAATACGTATCTCTTTGTTAATAGTAATTATCTCTACTCTAATAGATTTCATTTTTATTCTAATTACGATTACATTTATTAAAATTATATGTAAGTTGTACATTAACTTAACACACATGAAGCACCAGAATGACAAGCTGCATTCAACACAACCAAGCTTTTAGGAAATGAACTCCCCAGAAGGAAAAGTTCTATTTTGATTATTTCCATGTAACTAAATCAAACTTTTGAAATTGCACTTTTGAAATTTAAAAAAATGTGTACCTTTCCCAATTAGTTATGTAACCAGTTACTGAATAAGTATCAAATGTCACACTCACATGTTAGATTGAATAAATATTCTTAGCAAAGAAGCCTGAAAGGCTGATTGTTATTTCTATAATAATTTAATAAACGTATTCTGAAGCAGGACTATTCAACGCTCATATAATTTAATGAGTGTACTGTGATGAGGATCTTAATGAGGTCTCCTTTTAAATGTTCAGGACTATAACTCTGATGAGGATCTTGATTTACTTTTTTCTTCTCCAGTCACAGTTGAATCTAATATAGTAAGTACTTACCGTTTATTTATCCATCCGAATATGTTTGACTCTTCACCCCTAATTGACAAATGTTTGCATGTAGACACCATCTTCAACTGAAGACGACATCATAATACAAACCACCCCTTCTTCAACATTAAAGAGGCCTTCAAACGCTGAGCAACATGTTGACTCTTCTACGCAGAGTTCAACAAATAAGAAACTCAAGGGAATCAAGATTGAAAAGCCGGATGCTTGAGCATTATCTTTTCGTTTACTTTGTTCTTTTACTTTTCGGAATTAATGTTATTTATCCTGTTTATTTGTGTTTTAGTAAGTTAGCTTCTGTTTCAGACACTAGATACAGTTCCTTTTATGAACGAATAATATTCATTTGCAATTTCTAAATGCAAATGATGAATCAATATGCCAAGCTCGACTGGAATAAATCTTTTCACTTCTATATACTTCGTATTGTTTTTAGGCATCGTTGCTGGATTTTGATTACTCGAATTTCGTACTATGAACTATAAGTTATATCTCATGTATAAATTATACTCCGTATTGTTCTACTCTTATTGAAATTGCTTTATATTTAAATCATGTTAGATTCTGTAGATAATGTTTATTGACTATTGAGTATTGTTTTAAACAAAAGAGACAATGTCATTGGCCAACTTTTGTTATATATTTATTTGAACAGCTGAGCTTTAAATCCACTGTGTAGATCTGTACATCTCCAACAGAGGAAATGAATTTACAAGGCAATTGTTATGGACTCACTTCTTAAGGAGTTAAGGGATGTTCAATGACATACATACTTATTGTGTAACCAAGAAGAAAATAATCTTTCTGTGATAATGTTTACTATCACTAGATGACATCACCTATCACTTTTGAGAATGGCAGTCACCTAGGCTTCATGGAGCTTGACTCCACAAGCATTTTTTAAGATAGAGTTGTTGGACCAGTTCCTGGTGAAGAGTCCAGGATTGGAGGAAGTCCAATTGGACTGAGCAAAGAATCACACGTATGGAGTTATTAAATAAACTCCATTGAGTATTTGGATAACTATGATCTTCAATTGATAATATTTATCCATATTGCTTAGAAGATTGTATTTCACTACAACTACACTACTATTATTGAAAGATAACGTTGAATGAGAAGAGGAATCTACTATAATTCTATCACACTCCTATATATACCTAATATCATGTTATATATTCTTAACAACCACAACACATATAAATTAAAGTTATGTTTCTTTCAAATTGCTTTGCTATCAACTTTTGTTAACAAAGAGATATTGTGAAGGCTTGCTCCTGCAGTATAATACTTCACGTATAGTCAGGAATTACTAAATGACCAACCTTCCTCCCTTGCGGTAATAATATGTCAAGTGTCATTTTTGTTCCTATGCTACAAAAGGCTTATACTTTGGCTCCGCCATCTTCACTCCAATCATTCAGAACTTTTATATTACAAGGTTAGTTATACTGTCTTGGTTTGTATAGAATTTAGTTTTTTTAAATACCATCGTTGATAAACCAGAAGTTATGTTTTTATAAACGAAATTGAACTTCTATACAAAATCTCACAAAACAATTTTTATTATAATAAAAACAACACTTATTTAAAAGTGTGACATTAGATATAAAAAAAACTCTTATTCGAGTTGGCCTCATATTCAACTAAATGTGGTAGTTATCTATTCTGTTAAATTTGTATCCTTAATCTAACTGTATCTATAATATTTGTATTTATATATATTTGAGGTATAATTAACCCTCAAAGTTCCTTATATATTATTACTAATTAATTAAATTTAAATCATAAATATACTGTTCCGAATAAAAATTCGGACTTATTAGACATTTCTGTTATTTTCAGAAAATTGTGAATAGAATTATAATAACCTTTTATTATTCAAGTATTAGTTGTACGAATCACGGGAATCTGCATACCATTACACCTTAATAAGATCTCATTTGATAAATCAATCCAATATATTTAGGTTTTCCATTTCAAGTACCAATAAATTTACACAATAAATCACGCATAAAATCATTTAGTAATACGTAGTATAAAATTTATAAAATGATTTTCTTAGTAATCCTTGGTATAGTAGACTTATTTTTAATTACAATAAAGGTTACAAGTATCATTACATTTCAGACTCTTCGTATGTTTTCTTACTATCACTATATTTGCATTTATGTACTTGCATTAGGCTTTAGATGCAGAAAGGCACGGAGTTAATAAAGGTCCATGGAAAACGACCACTTGTGAGTGACCAGTCAACATATGAGGAAGATGTAGCTGGGTCTAGCAATTTTGACACTCTTGATTGTGGTATAGACCTAGATAATGAAGGTAAGATATTTGATTAAATAATTTGACATTAATGATAAATTGTTAAATGTCTATAGTTTATTCTCAGAGAGTATACTTCTTTTATTGGAGAGAAAATTGTAAAAGAAAATATTATACCTCAATAATTAAGTATCTTCTAATATTTCAATAAATCTAAAATTCAAGTTTTTAAATAAAGTATGGTAAAGTGGTAAACTAATACTACTTCTGTCTAAATGGACTTTGCACTCTTTGAATTACAAGAGAAATCACAATAATAAAAATTGTGGATGCATTTTGTGCTGATAGATAAATGAGCAGAAAAATAAATTCTTTACTTTAATCGGAAAGTAACAAAGTTTTTTGGGACAAAAAAAAAATGAAAGTTGGGAAAGGCCAATGAGACGGAGGGAGTACCATATACTCCGTACATTATATATGCACTAAAGTATTTTCGTATTATACTATACTTGCTCCGTTTCTTAAAGGTTACAACAATAGGATTTTTTCACTATTCACGTAGATTACTTTGACTATGATTTTCTACAAATATTTATAATCAAATTATTATGTATAAAATGTTTTTAAATTTCTATTAATGTAAATTTTCAAAATATTAACATTTTATAATTTTTATTATTACTTAATGATTATATAACTACAGTCAAAGTTGTTTGTTGGCAAACGTGAAAGTCAAAGTATTGCAACTATTTAAGAACGAAGGATAGTATTATATTGACAAACAATCAAATTTAATATTAATTCACACCTACATCTAAAATCTTAAACACAGTAAATGTGTACATATAATTTGTCATTTTTTCAGAGTTTGAAGATGAAGAAATGTTTGATGACTCAATTGATGTTGACTTGGGTGAATTTGAAAATAATGGTACGTAACAGTAAATTTTCACACACTGAACATATATGTTATTGCGGTGTGAAATGTGTTCGTATCCTAAATTGTTGGTTTGTGATATTTTTAATTTTTAATTATTCAATTTTGAACAGATGACAATGCTGAATACTTGTGTTTTCAAACACAAGGTACTTACCCCTACAACTATTTTTAACTCTATTTTTAATCACATTTTGATAGTTGAGAAACATCTTTATTTTTTATATATATTCAATATGAATAATTTTTGTAGCATATGTGGATCTTGGAGATGCTACTCATGAGTGCGAGTATTGTGGAGCCTTATTCTGGTATGCTGAAAGGGTAAAGAGACATTCTGTCAAGCAACGCCCAAAGTTTTCAATGTGTTGCAATCAAGGAAATGTTGTTCTCCCTAACATGCAGCAGCCCCCTAAAATTTTAAATGACCTCATTTTTCGCTCTGAGCATCGAAGTAAGCACTTTCTGGATAACATTCGTTCTTACAATTCTATGTTTTCGTTCACTTCGATGGGTGGGAGAACGGATAGAGATATAAATAGGGGTGGAACACCTCCAATATTCAGATTGAATGGTCAAAATTACCACAAGATCGGTAGTCTTATACCAAATGAAGGACAACGTCCCAAATTCTTACAGATGTATTTGACTGATCCAGAAGAAGAGGTTGCATCTAGAATCTCATCTGTGAGGTTAGTTAATCATTATACATTTTTTTGAAAGTTACTCTTTTTTTTTATTTAAACTAAAACTATACTACCTTCAATATATGAATTGTTTTCTATATTAAAATTTCAATTTCAGTATTAACAATTTCGGCTATATGCATTTTAGGACCTCCGGTGGAACCGCATTACATGATACATTAGTATCCGATTTGCGAGATATGTTGGATGCATACAATGTTCACGCACAGTCATTTAGGATGGCCCGTGATAGGTTTAATGAGACTAACTCTATCTCTTTGAAGATGAAGCTTATTGGTAAAAGGAATTCAGATGGACGTACTTACAATACCCCTACCGCTCGTGAGGTAGCCGCACTTATAGAGGGGGACTTTAGTTTGAATCGAAAAGAGAGAGATGTTGTTCTTCAGAAGAAATCCGGAAAGTTTCAAATTATATCGGAACTGAATCCTTCTTTTCTAGGATTACAATATCCGTTACTCTTCCCCTATGGTCAAGATGGTTTTAGAGAGGATGTTAACCTGACACGTGCATCTCAAGCTACCACAAGAGGAAGAAAACATGTTACAATGAAAGAGTTCTTCTCATACAGGTTGCAAGAAAGGAAGAGTGAGTCCCCTTACATATTGAGATCGAAGAGATTATTCTAGCAATTTATTGTTGATGGATATACCATGATTGAGTCATGTCGTTTGGCATATATTAGACTACATCAAAAGGACTTGCGAAGTGAACTATATACGGGATTGGCTGATGCTGTCGGTCGTGGTGAAACTGACGGATCCAGATTGGGACAACTCATTGTACTTCCTAACTCATTCACGGGAAGTGCACGTTACATGATTCAAAACTACCAGGATGCGATGAGCATCTGCAGGTGGACAGGATACCCACAACTCTTCATCACGTTTACATGTAACCCAAAGTGGCCTGAGATTGTTCGCTACGTCGAGTGTAGAGGACTTGCTCCGGATGATCATCCAGATATCATTTGTAGAATCTTCAAGATCAAACTTGAAATGCTCATAAAAGACTTGAAAGAAAATAGACTATTCGGTGAAGTTAAAGCAGGTATGAGCTGATTCTATTTATTAGTTAGTGAAGTTTTATTTAATTACATTACTATTGATACTTTTCTTCAAGATAAACAACTATAATTTCATCCAATGACAAAATAACACATAAATAATTCTATCCTATGTAGTTGTATACATTGTGGAGTTTCAGAAACGTGGATTGCCACATGCTCATATTGTGTTATGGTTGACGCGAAAGGACACGACTATATTGGCATCAGACATTGACAGCATCATCTCAGCTGAAATTCCGGATGAGAAAAATGACCATGATTATTATGTTGCTGTCAAAGAGTTAATGGTGCACGGGCCTTGTGGGGTTCTGAACAAATCTTCGCCGTGTATGGAGAATGGTCACTGCACGAAACACTTTCCGAAGAAATTTGTGAGACGTACTACAATTGATGGAAGTGGATTTCCCATTTACAGAAGAAGAGACGATGGAAGGAGTGTATTGAAGAATGAGACTCTTCTTGACAATAGATTTGTCATCCCTAATAATTGTACATTACTGCTCAAGTATGGGGCTCACATTAATGTTGAGTGGTGTAATCAAACCCGGGCAATGAAATACCTCTTCAAGTACATTAATAAGGGTAATGATCGGATCACAGTAGCATTCTCTGAGGCATCCGACAATCGTAAGGCAGAAAAGGTTGATGAGATCAAAATGTATTACGATTGTAGATATATCTCTGCATGTGAAGCGGCTTGGAGAATCTTTGGATTCCGCATTCATTATAGGGACGTCGCAGTTGAACGTCTAAGCTTTCATCTCCCTGGGCAACATAGTGTGTACTATAATCCTAAAGAGTCTGTCAGTTCTGTTCTTAGACGTCCTACTATCCACACTACTAAGTTTCTAGCTTGGATGCATGCAAACAGTGTGTATCCTCAAGCTAGGAGCTTGACTTATGCTGAATTTCCTACCAAGTTCACGTGGAAAACCAAAACAAGAGAGTGGGTACCAAGACAAAGAAGCACCGCAATTGGAAGACTATACTTCATGCGACCTGGAGCCGGAGAGAAATATTATTTAAGGATGCTCCTTGGTGTCGTGAAGGGGGCCAGGAGTTTTGAAGAACTCAGAACAATTGATGGAGTCATACACTCGACGTTCAGAGAAGCTTGCTCTGCACGTAGTATGTTAAATGACGATAAAGACTATATAGATGGACTTATAGAACAAAGTCATTGGGCAACAACGCATGAACTTTGCGTCACATTTGTTCATCTTTTACTACAAGAGTCATTATCTATGCCCAGTATGGTTTGGGAGAAGTGTTGGCCATATCTATCTGATGATATACTCTACACTATTAGGAAGAATCTCAATGATCAAGGTATGTTTATTATTTAATGGCATTCCTAAAATTTAGATAAATTTAATAAATGTCAATATTAAGAGTGATGTAGATTTACAATATGCAAGATATTTTGAAATTAAAAATTACATTTTCATATATATTATAGTTAACGATCATTATTCACTAATATCAAAAAATTGAAACTTTTTATTGTAATAAATTGCATATTGATCTCAGGGTAAAATTTACTCTTATGTCATAGATAATTTTTAAATATGAAGTACTTCTCTTAAAAAGTGTTCAAAAATAGTTCAATATATATAATTTAATAAACTATTTTTTAGATAGTAGTTGGTTTAATAATTTGTTTCCACAACATCATATTTAAAGATGTGTTGTTTGTTTATGATACACACAAATTTAATTATTTAAGCATTTAGAAATTTAAAAAATATTCTAATTACTTCTTAAATTTATTAATATTAAAATTGCACTAACCATTATGTTTTTTACAGAACTGCAGCTTGATGAGAAGCAAATAAAGAATTATTGTTTGTTGGAAGTTGAAAAACTTCTACAACATCGTGGAAAGTCTCTATTCTACTATGACGGAATGCCTCGAGTGACGGATCTTGACATTCCCTCTCTGGATGATGTTTTGATACACGAGGAATTGAGATATGACAGACTTGCTTTGGCGGAGGAACATGCTAAATTAATTTCCGCCTTGACGGAGGATCAAAGGCGTGTTTATGAGACAATAGTGAGTTCTGTAGAGGCCAACCGTGGCGGTGTGTTCTTCTTATATGGGCACGGCGGTACAGGGAAAACATATCTGTGGAAGACCTTATCAGCATATATAAGGCATCAAGGAAATATTGTGTTGAACGTAGCTTCAAGTGCGATCGCATCATTGCTCCTTCCAGGTGGAAGAACGGCACATTCCAGGTTCGCTTTTTTGGTTTAAAACTTATAATTCCAAATAAATACAAACAAAATGAATTGTAACTTCTAGGTTTAAAATCCCACTCACAGCAGCAGAAGATTCAACTTGCAACATAAAGCCAGGAAGTGCACTTGCGAAGATAATTCAAATGACGAAATTGATTATTTGGGACGAGGCACCCATGATTAATAAGTACTGCTATGAAGCTCTTGATCGAACCATGCGGGATATTCTTCGACATTCATACGGTTGTGATGGGAGCAAACCTTTTGGTGGAAAGACAATTGTCTTTGGCGGAGACTTTAGACAGATTTTACCGGTAATTCCAAAGGGTAGCAGGCAAGAAATTATGCTGACGACTTTAAACTCATCCTTCATTTGGCCCTTTTGCAAGGTACTAAGGCTAACGAAGAACATGAGAGTGCGAAGTGGATCAGACGATGTTAACTCTGCATACATAAAAAGGTTCATTGATTGGATTTTAAAGATAGGGGACGGAGTTCTAGGTGACAATGAGGATGGAGAATCATATATTGACATACCTGAAGAATTCCTCGTGCCTTGGATTTCTGATCCAGTTACTTCTATTGTCCAGAGTACATATCCCAATTTCTTAGCACAATGCACATCACCATCATATTTAATGTCAAGAGCAATACTTGCGCCAACAGTTGACGAGGTGGACAAGGTTAATGATTACATGCTCGCACAACTACCATCAGAGATGAAGACATATTTCAGCTCCGATTCTGCATCATTATCTGATTCTGATAGTAGTTTGTTGCAAGAGATCCATTCTCCAGAATTCCTTAATGGAATCAAATGTTCCGGAGTACCTAGCCATGAGCTCAAATTAAAAGTGGGTGCCCCTGTGATGCTTATGATGAATCTTGATCAATCATTGGGTTTGTGTAATGGCACTCGACTTTTAGTGACCCGACTTGGAAAACATGTTATTGAGGCCCAAATGTTGTCAGGGCCAACTGCCGGCCAAAAACATTTCATTCCCCGTCTTACCTTGACTCCTTCTGATGTCAGACTACCATTCACCTTTCAGCGCAGACAATTCCCTCTGATGGTTAGTTATACTATGACTATAAATAAGAGTCAGGGCCAGTCATTGGAAAATGTGGGGATATTCTTACGGCGACCGGTTTTCACCCATGGGCAGCTTTATGTTGCTGTATCAAGAGTCACGAGTCCAACTGGTTTGAAGTTTTTGATATGTGACGATAATGGTAGACCGACAAACTCCACTTTAAATGTTGTATACAAAGAGGTCTTTAACAATTTGTAATATTACATTTTGTCTTGAATAAAATTGAGAGCTTTTTATTTCAAATCAAAAGACACATGTTATGCATTCATTTAGGAAAATAATTAAATTACTATAAAATAATATATAATAATGTTTTAGCCCATGTTGGGGGAAAATATATATTAATATCAAATAAATTAAAATGGCCTTTTCACTCCCGTGCAACGCACGGGTGAAAATACTAGTAAACATCTTAATCTAAGCAAAACTTAATAGAAAAAAGTAAACAACCACATCAGACGACAAAAAACTTGAGTCTAATTAAAAACATTCTCAATACTAAAATTATGAAGATAGGAGTATATGGAGTTTGGAATCCCGAAATAAGACTACTATATTTTTATTCCTGAAATAGGACTAACATGACAGTATTTATTGTCATCTTGTAGGTGTGATTGTCAAATAGTTGCAGTACCTTTCATTTAATATGTCAACATTTATTATAATTAATGGTAGTATTTTTAATAATGACAATATTTTTTATACATGACAGTAAAAACTCCTATTTCGAAAAGAAAAACATAATAGTCTTACTTTGGAATTATAAATCTTTTTCCTAAAAATTAACTGGACCGAACTTTTAACTTTTTAAGTTAAAAGTGATAAGCAAAGCTATTAGAGTACGCCGATCCTTAAAAAGTAATGGATGTCTTCAACTAGCGGCATGTTCATAAGTCTACATATTTTGAAAACTTGTTTTGTACACTTTTTTATAGACATAAGTACACTTTTGTTTCTGTGAGAGTTTTTTTGTCTGTGAATCTCAATCGACAGACAAAAACGGCATGTTTTGTCCAGTTCGTATATAGTGCATCCGGGTGTACGTACACCCGGCCCAAGTAAGAAAGACGGGCCCAATCATTAATACAAGCCAAAAAAAATTCGGTGGCATATTTGTAATTTAAGCGAAAATTCACGGCTTTCGCTAAATGAGCAATAATGTAATTGTAATGAGCATCTGACCTATCTTTTTGAGTATGTAAGAGGCTAACAATGAGTTTCACGATCCCTGCTTCATATCTTCTAATTTTTTTTTCTTATTCTTATTTTTTCTTTTATAAGAAATTATTAAATTATATCTATAATACACTCCTATTAATTTCAATATGATAGTATAATGTCATATGATACTTTTGAAATATACATTGACACAACATTTTAAAAATGAGCATAACATCTTACCAAATGAGCATATGTAACTTACGAAATGCGCATTGATAAGAAAATCGTAAAGTTTGTTAGTTGAACATCACGACATTTTCATTGAGCATCAAAACTCATATCTCGATATGAAAATCACAGTTTATGTAAAATGAGTATTAATGAACTTTTAATGAGCATCCGACCTATTCTATTGAGTATTAAGAGTCTAATATTGAGCATCGTGATTTCTGCTTCATAACTTCTAATTCACTTTCAGTGAGCATCAAGCCTCCGTTATTGAGTATTAGAATATGTGATTGAGTATCATGATTTGTTGTTTCGTGTTTATAATCAACTTTTATTAAATGTAATGTAATATGAGACTTTTGAAATGTGCATTGCTAAAACATTTTAAAAATGAGCATAAGAGAGATACTAAATGCACATACATAATTTACAAAATGAGTATTCAAAAATTGAAAAGTTCATTTGTGTATGTTCATTTTTTTAAGCGTTTTACTCATTTCAATTTAAGGTAAAACTCATTTCTAATGTGCTCGGTATAATATATGAAAAAGAGAAAGAGGCAAAACAAATAAAGAAAGGAAAAGAAGTAAAAAACAAAGAAAATAAGTAAAGAAAGTAAAAAAAAGACAAATCCAAAGAAAGTGAAATCGACCACTAAAAAAAGTAACGAAAATAAAAAACAAAAAGACAAAAAACCTAACAATCAGAACCACTAAAAAAAGTAAATAAAATAAAAAAACAAAAAAAACAAAAAGTAAACAACGATAAGAATTGATGACGGCGGAAGAAAGAAAGGAAATGTGAAAGACGGCGGAAGAAAAGAAGGAAAAGTGGAAGACGGCGCAAGAAAAGAAAAAAAAGTGGAAGGCAACGGAAGAAAAAAAAAAAGAGGGGAACATTAGCCTATTTATTAGGCTCAGACTTTCTCCTAATTACAAAAAAACCGGATATAAAGTACATCCGGGTGTAGCATATAATTTGCGATGTTTTGTCCGTAGAATTTGACGTGTATAAGAACGATCCCAAGAATTTTTGACATATTTTACCACCTCCTCTTCTCTTCTCTCACCACCCTCCACTGCCATCGTCTCTGCCCCTTCCCCCGCCGTATCTCCCAAGAGTTAGTTGCCTTGATTAAAATAAAGTCAAAATTGTTCTTATATCTTAATAGTACCGTCCTGTAGCAGTTTGTTGTTTTGTTGTCACAACTCACGAGAGTTTTGCTAAACATATTCTCTCTTTCAGTGCTGCATACATTATTATACTACGTATCATTTTCTAACTTATCTTGTTTTCTGGGTTTACTCTTTCTTTAATTATTACGGAATATTATTATTATAAATTCATGCATTAATATTCATATATACTTTGTTGCAAAATAAAATAAAATAAATGAATAACCATTCAATAGCATGTGCGGCTTGAAATTATTAGTTGAGCAGCGACTGTTATCTATATCCGTTTTTCCTTTATTTTTTTTGGGAAAATTATTTGAAGTATAATAAGAATTAATTTGACTGGTAATAATAGCAAACGAAAAGTTTTGATGGATCGAACACGATTTCAGCAGCAGCAGATGACTTCCGGGCTGACGCGCTACCGGTCAGCGCCAACTTCATATTTTTCAACCCTTATGAATAGTTCTGCTGCAGCTGATGCCGGAAGTATTACCGGCGGCGGCGGAGGCGGCGGCGGAGGTTATCCCAGAGGTGATTTTGACCGGCAAGCTTTTGGGAGGCTCATGGCGAGCCTAGATTCCCAAGACTTGAGCTCGAATCAGCAGAACCCGAAGAGGAATTTGAACGTCAAGCAAGAATCCGAAGCGTTTGAGCAGCCGTTTAAGCAGAAATTGCAGAAGGTTGACCTTTTGTCAAAGGGTGATATTGGAAACTATTCAGGACAAGCTCGAAACACCCATACTTCTGGGGCTACTACTGCTTCTACTTCTGCAATGGATAGGCAGGATAGTTCTTTTGGTTTGATGAATTCTTCAAATCTCACCCGTTATAATACTTCTCCAGCTGGTTTTTTTGACCAAATGGATATCCAGAATGGTATGCTTTCTTCTATTCTTTTCTGTTTTTTTTTGTAAGCTGAAATGAACAGATTAAAAGGGAGATTAAGTAAGGGTTAGTCTTGGTGGGAGAGTTTATATCTTGATCACTTGATGGCTTGATGCATATTTGTGATTTCATAAAAACTTTAGGAATACTATATGAAGTTATCATAAAAAAGTGACTTTTTATGCAGAGTGACTATTTTTGACTTGGAAAGACCATTTTTCACCAGTACAATAAGAATGTGTTGCCTTTTTTAGTCCTTTTATGTTCTTTCTTAGAAATATTCTGTTAATCAATATAAAGAACAATCCTCTCATCCAATCCAAACAGACCATAAAGGGAAGCTTTTCTCTAAAAGAGGGCCTAGGGCTAGTTCTGCAAGTTCAAGTGTCTTTATAATGTCAGTCAGTGGATTAGGTGGTACTTTTGCTTGATAACAACAAAAAGTTGCTGATTTGATTTGTTGACTATATCTGTATACATAAAGTTTTGTCTTGGAAAAATTGGACTTATTGAAGTTCTGGCAAGGAAATGAGTTTGATGAAGACAAATATAGGCCCAAAGAAACATTGGATTGATTGAAACATGTGGTTTGAGAGGACACATATATTATAGGCTATAACAGGGGGGGGGGGGGGGGGCAGTAGGCATGTGTTCTCATTATAGGGCTTCTTGTATGTAACAGATGTTGAAATAATCTCTGAGCTTAAAAGTTGAAATGACCTTTTGAATAATAATGAAAAATGATTGAGGAGCCATATTTTGCTCATCCAATATGACTTTTTAAAAGAGTTTGTGAAATTTCACAGAATATGGTGGAGAAGCAGTGTTTTCCTCTTCCAGCCTAAGGTTTAAGAATCATACAAGCTTTTCATCAGGGCAGCCAACTTCTTGTTCAGCACCAATGGATCCTATATCTGAGATTGGAGACGAGAGCGTGAAGGACGAAGGCAGTCCAAGGAATCATGAAGATTACGCCTCGGCTTTCTCCTTACCACCTTGGGAGGATTCAGATATTTTTTCTGATTATTTCCTAAATGCACCCGGAGAAAAACCACTTTTGAATCCAAACACATCAGATGTTCAGGTCTGTTTTTTTAAACAGTAAAGCGTATACCACATGTGTTTATTATGTTTCTGATCTTTAATTTTGTTCTTTTTAGAAGGGTGAAGATCAAAGCCGAACTCCTGGCCTATTGTCTCATCACTTGAGTTTGCCCAAAAGTTCTGCACAACTATCTGCAATAATGCAGGATTCTGTGCCATGTAAGGTCAGAGCTAAGAGGGGTTGTGCAACTCACCCGCGTAGTATAGCCGAGAGGGTAAGTATCTTCTCAATTTCATAAACCGAGTTGCATTTCAATATCTTATGTCATCCTGACATCGTAAGATCATCCTGTTTTGATTCAATATAGTTCAACATATATACTCCTATTACATAATTAACGTGCAGACAATCCAAAAAAACTTCAAGAGGTTTAGTTATTTTCATACTTGTAGGTATGGTAAACATATGATGTAGGATACTTAACACGTCCTCTTAGTTCTAATGGGACGGGAGAAATTAAGGGGTACATAAATGGGTCAAACCGGCTCCAAACTATGGACACCAAACAAATAAACCGAACTAGGAGACGTTCCAATGTTGTATTAAATTCGGCGTAACTCACCTCATCAGGATAGTCAAGAGGTGAGGTTTACCTCAAACTTATAGATTAAATATAGATCTGGTAGATAGTCAATGTGAGACACTTAACTATATAAGGCTTCGGAGTCTCTATGATAGATTGACCCTTACCATAATTTGATGTCTTAGTTTAGCATTACATCCTATAAAGTTTGAGCCAGCTATTCAATCCTTGTAAGTCGTAAATTGAACGCTTGAACTTTAGTATTGGCCATTTCTAATGATGGTGAATTGATCTCAAAATCACAATGATAAATGTGTGTTTCAAAAGAGAACTATTTCATAGGAACCATGAGGACTAATAGAGTTTTTTTGTGAAATATATGTATATGGATCTATAATAGGTTAGAAGAACCCGTATAAGCGAGAGAATGAGAAAACTACAGGAGCTCGTTCCGAACATGGATAAGGTATGTTTTTGCTTGATCCATTTTTGATACTATGTATATTCATCTTTTAGACTTTTACCGAAGGCTTATCAGTCTGAGCATACAGCTTACATTCACTGCTCTTTTAAAACCATTTGTAGCAAACGAACACTGCGGATATGTTGGACTTAGCAGTTGACTACATCAAAGGTTTAGAGTCAAAAGTCAAGGTACACACAAAGGACTTTTGAGCCAACCACATTACTAACAGTATATGAGATGGTTTGGATTTCCTATCATTTATATTAACCATATTAACGCTTTTATGTAATGCTATAATTTTCAGGTATTATCAGAAAATCGCGCAAAATGTAAATGTTCAGGTAAATAGAATGTCACATAGGGGACCAGGTAGGGTTGGCTGAGCAGTGCACTGTCAAACATTATATATGTAATATATAGATATATATTATATGTATACATATAAAGCATTGGTTGTATGTTGGTTGACCTCATTTTTATCATCAAAAGAAACATAAAAGTAGGAGGCTTTGATGTATGTTTGACTCCTTTGCTGGGGAGCAATCATTTTCAGATGTATGATCTTGTCCTTGAATTGAAGTAGAAGTTAAACAAAGCTGTGGTTGCAAGCTGTCTATTTATGTCAAAGTTTAATAATGCCATTACTGCATCACCTATTGTGGCCTTGTGGGGTCAGTAAGAGGGTGTTGTGTTTTGCTCCCCCATATTTATATATGGGAGAAATCTGTTGAAACAAAGATGTCTGATGAATGGAATTTGAAATAATAGTGTATGTATTTTACTGCATTTGTTTTCTTTTTGTGAGCCTTTTACTTTTTATATTTGTATGAATGAATTAAAGTTTATCAGGGTAGCAGTATGGAATTCTCTATTGTGAATTCTCGTAGTCCTGGGTGCCTGTTTTACTTAATTAATTCAGGAGCTGTTTAATTTTTTTTATTAAGTTCAGTCTAGATTTAGATATTTGTCTTGTTTGCGTGGATTAAATGGTATTTTTTTGAGGTTGTTTATTTTGTGTGTTGAATAAACGGTCTGAATTGAGTAAAATAATCAATCTAGTATTATTCTGGAGATATAATATCAATTTGAATTTTCATTTACTACGCATTAACATAAATCTATTCTACAATTGTTTAAAAAATGGCGGAAAAAACGTCTTAATAGACATCTTAATAAGGACTATTATTTTTCAACTTAATAATTAAATAAGTTTTTTCATTGAATGATTATGCTATGTTTTTAATTAAGTCATAAATAAATATGACTTATGATGTTTTTAATTGGACATATTTCAGTCTATGGATCAGATCAGACAAGTCCAGACTTTAACGGACTAGAGTCACTAGATCACATTATGATAGTTGTAAAATATACGGAGACCAGATAATTATCAGAAAATAAGAGACCAATTCAAACAAGACTCTATTAAACTTAATGGTTGCATGATTATGCGGGTGGGTACTCATTAAATTCATTAAATTGAAAGTATATAGTCGGTCCCTAAAAGGCCTTTGTGATGAACGTTGGCTTATAATGGTCAAAATATGTAAAATAAAAAATCACCAAACACTGGACAAATGAGTTGATTAAGATGGTTTTATAATCACCATAAAAACTAGTCGGATGATGACTGATCAAGTTAGGAGCTTGTTTTACTTTAATCAAAATAAGTAAAATTGATCTGATCTATTTTCTCATGAAATAATTACATACTCCGTATTTATGACTAAAATAAAAATAATTTACTGACTAGTGACTAGAGTAATAACAATAGTAACTTGTGTTCATTTTTCAAACTTAAGTTACCATGACACTAAATTGTAGTAACTATTAATCATTTTTTTGTAAATATGTTTTATTTTAATACTCCTTTCTATTAATATTAACTTGTGTTCATTTTAATATTTTTGAAAAAAAAAAACTTTTCTAATTTTAATGGCTAAAATTATTTTTCATTTTTCATATGAGAAGTAATTGTATGTGCTATATGACTTCCCTTAATCTCCTTTCTTGTTGGTCATATCTGCTCCAAAGTCCAAACACACACTTGCAAAGCTTACGTCAGAAAACTAATTTAGAGTCCGTTTGTTAACATGATAATCGGCTTTCGGCTTATTCTGCTGAAATTTATGAAATTCTGGCTGATGTGGCTGCATTGGGTGATTCTGCTGATTTGAGAAAAAAATATTTTTAAAATACATTTTATTAATAAAATAAAAAATATGTATGTAAAAATAGCTAAAATGGTCAATACAGCCAGAAAAGTAAGTTCAACCTTACGTTTTCTTATTGTTATACAATTCAGCGTGCGAAAACAAAATTTACGTGTTTAGTGAAAAAATTGATTGATAAATCTGATAAGCCGAAAAACAGTGTTACCAAACGGCCTCTACTAATTAGTGAGTAATTTGTTTGCCCCCATTCTTTTCAAATAAATTAATGTGATTCAAACAGCACTCGGTGTGTGTTCCTCGTGTCTTTGTCATGAATTAAAGTTTTGTACTCCCCTATTACATTTGAGCCATTTCCCTTGACAGATGACAAATGTATTTAGATCCGCGTGGTACCCACTTTCACTTTATTATTATTTCTAGTAATCAATTATTATTAAGTACATAACTTTAATTTCACTGAAAAATTATATAATAATTAAAATAATTAAATTTATAGTTATATTTATAATTGAATTGATTGAAGTAATTATAAAGGATTATTTTAATGTTTTTTTCAGATTATTTTCTTTGTGTTATTAATAAATTATATTTTGAATCTATCAACCTGATAAGAGAAGTAATTTAGGATCATAATATAGTACTTAATTATTTCATATTTTACCGGTGTGAGATTTCTACGTCCCTCATCACGAACAAAGACTTCGTCTGGATCGTGGCATTATTCATTGTTTTGCCGGTTGATCGTTGTCTTTTTTACACTCGTTTTGTCGTTATGAATTGATTTTGCTTTGTACGGGCCATGTTAAGACTAGAAGTTTCATCTAAAAGGGCAACCTCATATGGGGAATAAACCAAGATCTTAATAGAACACTTTATGATTTTAGCAACTTGTGTGTGAAAAATACTTCAGGTTGTTCCAGGTAGATACTGTCAAGAATTCCTTACTATTGCATGAGAGCAAGTTCATCTTCGAAGTATTTTTTCCTATTTTTCTATTGGAGCTTCCCTCATTCCTTTTATCGAACGTAATGATGCCACGATGCATGCCAGTTTCATACGACCAGGTGGAGTGGCACAAGATCTAAGAGTGATCTTTTTGTTTCATTGATATCAAAGTTCGACGTACCAGACTCTTCCAATAAAAAGGGGTTTAATTTTTTTAAATATCGAGTTAGACAATATCGAGGTAGATAAATACACCAAACTGACCTTTAACAAGCTAAACTTAATGAGGGGTGCTAAGTTGTCCTTTAAAGAGCTACCTTTAATTATGTGACTAAAAAATGTTTTAAACACCAATGAAATCATGTACATGATCTCTTAAAAGAATATTTTTAATAGTCGAATTTAAGAAAAACAATTAATGCTTTTATATAATTTAAAGACAATGATAAATTTGTTTGCACGTTGAATCGTAACATTAAAAACGTGGTTTTGTAATTGCTTTATTATTACTTACTTGAGAATATTATTGGCAATATTAATCACAATTTTGCTACTTGTACCCACCCCTTATACCTACTCTTATACTCACCAACGTGAGAAGGTTTTTTTTTTGTCTGTTAATCTCGTTCAATGCTAAAACAGGTTGACTATTAACATGATTCACATACAAAAAAGTCTTGTTTTGTCTATTAACAGAATTCACTGACAAAAAATAGCTTTCTCACATTGATGGCCAATGGGTATACGAGTGAGTATAAGGGGTCAGTACAAACATTATTTTTCTATTAATAATTATAATCAAGATAATTTTGATGTATTTTTTCATATAAATGATAAACCAATATATTAACCTTTGCAAAAGGCTGACTCTCCCTCTCTAGGATTTTGTTTTCTCCGCTTTCGTCCTTGACGAAGTGCGGCCATGGTAGGGGGTTGTTCTCCGCTTTCATCCTTGACGAAGTGCGGACGGTGTAGGGGTCTTCGGTCGGGCTAGGAGGTCCAATTCGCAACTGGTGTTCATGGTTTTTCCGCATGTGATCTCGGTCGCGACCAATTGTAGGTGGAGCACAGGTTGTTTGTTTTTGGTGGTAGGGTTTGGCTCAGTCCGGTAGAGTGGATTTCAATGGAATATATTGTCAATCAATACAAAAATATGACTATTGGAGGGGATGGTGGCGAGCTGAACTTCGATGATGAGGAACCTGGAGAAATCGAAGTGGACGAGAAGCGGGCAATTTTCTTGGTGGTCGGCATTCTCCTTACTGATTGGAAAATCAAGTTCCGGATTTTTAAAGAACTTATGGCTTCTCTATGGCGACCGGCCAAAGGTGTGTCAATCAAAGAAATAGGCGATAAGAGGTACCTTTTTACTTTTTATCATATTGTGGATATGAGACGTGTTTTAGAGAGTGGTCTGTGACTGTTTGAAAGGAATTTGTTGGTTCTCAAGGAAGTCAGACCGGAGGATATTCCTCTCAAAATGAGCCTTAATGATCGAGGCAGAATGCTGGGTACAGGTACATCATGTACCTTATGGTTTTATGAACTTAGGAACTGTTCGGAAGGTTGGTAATTATATGGAAAAGTTTATTAGTTTTGATGAAAGCCAGATTGATGAAAAGTGGGAAGCTTATATGCGTATTAGGGTCTGCATGGACGTTGGAAAACCTCTGAAAAGGATCAACTCTAAAGAAAGGGGGGTTGGTCACTAGGTAGATTTCAAATACGAAAAACAACCTATGAAGGAGTATATGGCCCGGGAACCCTTAACCCACATACTCTTGCTACCTCAAACAGGCCCAATAAGCCCATGCGACCCAGATACAGCAACTCAAGCACAGTACAACCCGCACCCCACAAGGGAATGCCTTCGGCACCATGGCCGAAGGGTTCATATTCAGGGACGCTGCTTCGTTCTGGTCAGGCAACACGCCTGGAGATTTTACCCCATCACATCATCCTTCGGTCAGACCACCTTCGGCCCCCGGTACCAAATGCCCGCAATCTCTACAGAAGCTCCTCTCTGTCTAGCTTTCAACCACCACATTTAATGCGGTGTAAGGGTGTAAATGAGCCAAGCCGCTCGCGTGCTGCTCGCGGATCGCTCGGGAAAAGCTCGACTCGAGTTCGGTCATATTAAGCTCGACTCGAGTTCGGCTCGACTCGAATAGTAAAGAAGCTCATTTCAAGCCTATTCATTTTAGGCTCGTGGCTCGCAAGCCTTTGTGTCATGTTTTATACGTAGTATATTTTATATATAATTATATATGTAATACGTAGTATGTAATAATTATATACTACCTCTGTCCCATAAAATAAGCCCCACTTCAATTTGGATCGGAGTTTAAGAAATTGGAAATAAAATGGAAATGTATGGTTGTGGTTGAGTAAGAAAAAGGTAAATGAATGTTAGCCACACAAAACTTTCCAAAAAGGGAAATGGGAACATTTTTTGGAACGGCCCAAAAAGTAAAGTGAGACTTATTTTATGGGACGGAGGGAGTATGTACTTTTTTGGAATATATATTCTAATTTAAGACTATTCCATTTTCAATCCTTTTCACGGAGTATAATATAATACTCCTAGTAATAATTACAAAATAATAAAATGTACGTAGTATTATTATTATTATAACCATAATATGTAATA